GGGGTGCCCGGCGGGCCGGAGGCGCGGCCACAGTGGGTCCCGCTTGGTGAGCTGCCGCACGCTTACTGAACTGCCAGGGCGGCTCTTGGCAAGAATATCGAGCGGGAGCTGTTCGGTTTCGTGGCTGTTGTGCCGAAATTTATAAATAACTGTTTGTGAATTACAGGCTGAACCATCTACTTGCTTTTTGTTCATCGCGTGTGTCCCCTGCCCTGCTGGTGACAGAAAACATACAGAAACTCACCCTACGTTTAGGTGAGCATGCAGCATCCCTATGAACTTCATGGTGCTGCGGTGTGCACGACAGACAACGTCACCAAGACTGAAACGCCTCATCCCTTTACCTCTGTTTACAGTGAAGGGAATGCTGTTTGTGCAGGGACTTAAGGAACAGCTAGCCTGTCACCCAGGGACTTTCTGATTTTAGCTATATCAGGAGAAGAAGTTTCGAATACTTTGGCAGTGGTAGGAAATAATTGTGCCCTTCCCCAGTTCTTACTAAGGTAACGGTGGCTAAGAGCAGGCTTCTGTGGAGTCCCATAGCTGCGCAGCCTGCGCTGGCTGCATGCGAGCTACTGTTGCTGAGATGTTTGCAGGTGTGTTATTCCGCCTCTCAAAACTTGCTGGGCATATTTGTTTTTTTTTTTTAATAGGTCAAAGGAGAGTTTACTAGCTTTCGCAAAAAAAGGGCATGGGGAGTTTAAACATATGATGGCAATACCGCAGTTAGAATTTCTTCGTGTTTACCATTGCTGTAATTGGTTTAAAGGATTAAAAAATAAATGATTAATGATACTGGTTTAATGATGTTGGTCTGAGACAGATCTTACTGGCATGCAGTTGTTATAGTGCATGAATATTTTTAGGTACAGTACATTTAGCAAGGACTGGAGGAGGAAAGGGGAAGAGCAGTTAGACATTAGATCAATTTTAGCGGTTCTGTAAAACTGCATGTTCAGGCTTGTGGTGGATTTCTTTTTCCTTGAATGCTGTGAATTTTGTATGTTTCTTGTTTTTTGCAGACAGTTCTCTGTTAGACTTTTTTAAACACGGTGACACAAGAGTAGCCAGGGCAGTTGATGCATGTTACTTACAAAGAATTCATGTAAATGCCTGAATAAAATCTCTGATAGCCAAGTTAGCAGCTTCCATGGTTGGATGCTCCAGTGGAGTTGAAAGTGTCGGGAGCCTGTTGTCCGGAGCGTGCTGCGGCCAAGTGCAGGGACCCTGCTGCGCGGCGGCAGGGTCATTACGTTGCTTTACATTTTGTTTTCTCTGGAAGGTCACCACAGCTATGCTCAGGTACAGGGACTGTTATGTGAGAGTTGCCCAGTTGTCCATAAAATGTACCGAGCTGTTACGTATGGCTTACATTAGCTGGTGCAACAAGTTGAATTGCTGCAGATGCAAGAGTATTGTAGAATGAACTGCAGGGGTAGTGAATTTCCAGTGCACAAAGGGAAAAGTCAGTGAATATGGGCAGTGTGGGCCTGCCTGGCCCCCGTGCAAGGAGGTTCTCCAAAAGCAGCTGGAAGTCACAGCTGTTCTGAGTGGGCTGGCTTGGTTTTAGTGGCAGTATGTAGGAGATGACTGAACCTCTGTGATGCTGTATTTGTGCTACTGGAAAGACATGGTATAGGTACAATGTAAATCTCTAACCTCAGTTTTAAGATATTGTCCGTAAGAGCTCTGGGCTAACAATTGTTTCTTTTTGTGTGTGGTTCATGGAGGAGACTTTGCTACGGATCAGGGCAGCAACAGTTGTGTTCGTATGTACTAGGAAAGGAATCGATAGAAGTAGGATGATTGTGTAACTTCAGATCTACCACTCATGACTTGGGTACTACAACGCTGGGATGCTTTGAGTCAGTAAGTGTGCATTTTGGATTCCTACATCTTCGTTCTGTAAACAAACTACCCGGTGTAAACTTATGGGGCTATTTTCTTTTAAGCTACATTTTCTGTTATAGTTTTGTCTTTACCCTGAGCTGACCTGCTGGGTATGTTATGGAAGAAAGAAGGGCTTATCTCATCTGTGTGTGGCTCTATTGCTTGTAAGATGCAAATAAAATACTATGCTCAGGGGAGAGCAAGTAGAAGGATCAGAAATGGCAAATACTGCATTTCAACAACTGAGTAGCAAAGGGAGGCCTTCTTGGCTGGATGGGAAGTGCGGTGAGAACTTAAGGGAGAAGGTAGAGGTCAATTCTTAATTGAAGGCTTCTGCACGTACACCTGCGGAAAGAGAAATACTGGACTGGGGGGGGGAAAGCAGGTTTTGGTATTTTTGTTTTAGTAAAGCATTTTTGTATTCTGTAGTTATGAGAGGTAGCAAAGACTCAATCTCTAGAGTGGATGGAGCCTAAGTGGTCGTCTGCCTTAATAGTCCTGCCTTGTGCACATCCAGATGTGGACATCAGACACACAGAAGTTAAATGTTATTAAATGTTGTGAATTCTGTGTTTGTCGATGTTCACAGTGTTGCAGCAACACTAAAACTAGCAGTGAGAAATTTATGTGTGTGTGTGGAGTTAGCCTTTGCCAGAACTTGCTTCTCATAAGGAATTGAATTTTTCATGTAAAAAGGGAGAATAAAACTTTCTGGTTTTCTGTGTGTTTGGTTGCTTTGTTTGTTGTATTGAAAGGTTTTCATTGGCAGTTCATAGAAAATTAGCCCTCTGTAATGAGCATGAAGTCCTGGTTTTTCTGGGTTCTTCTTGCTTCAGAATTTATTACTGTATTTTCTTCAGTTTTTTTTTTGTTTGTTTTGTTTGTTGTTGTTTTGTTTTCTTCTAAGAATACAGTCATCTGTGCTGGGTATGTTGACTTTTCAGGTCATGCAGAGATTTTCTTTGAAAACAGTGAAGTACTATTCCATTATTGTGGCCTGACAGCAATCCAGTTGGCAGTTTTCTTTTTTCCCTTCTCTCTGTTATTCTAACTTTATGCACTTCTTCCTCCTTAAACTGTCTCCTATGTTATTCTTTCCCAATTTGCAAATCAATTATTAGTATTCTGCAGTAGTTTGGGATTTCGGGACTTCAGAAGACATCATGCCGCACAGCCATGCCCTGTGCAGGACTGCTGGAGAGACTCTCTGAGCGCGGGGAGGTTTGTTGTTGGTGTTAGCCTTCCCATGTGGCTAGGAGAGTCTTCTTTACATTCAAAACAATAGGTCTTGTCTCTTTTATGAAGGTATTTGGATCCTAAAACTAATTTTCCTAATGACAGAAAGGGGGAGAGATTGCGGATATATAGTCTGTTTTGGAGATATTTGCTGTGGGATAGAAATAGTGATAACATTGTTTTGTTCCAAGAAATCCACGTTTCTTCCCCAGCCCACCCACAAACCCTGAAAACCCAGGATGGTTCTTGGCCAAATTCAGCCCCAAATAAGCCTGTTTTTTCACCTACCCTACTTGAGGACACCAGTGCTACCAGGAAACATTACTTGAGAAAGGGAGTCTGAAAAGTTTTTGGTTCTGTTTTTGAAGTGCCAGGGAGTAGACATTCAAATAGGTTTCCTAAGGAATGTCTTCATGCAGAGAAGATGAAGTTCGGCTGATTCTCAGCTTGCTCTGACTCTTCATAATGTTCTGCTTATTTTGTTTAGGGCTTTTGAAGCTAGGTCATGTGTTTATATTCTTTGGTCTGTTGTTGCTACTATGAGTAGATAATGTGATCAGAAAATCTGGCTAGAAAGATTACCAGCTTTATGTTACACTGTACTGTTTATACCTGTGGGATTGCATACCCTTCTGAGTACAGTTATCTTATTTACATATGCACAGATTTCTGTTTCTAGCTATAGATTTCTTAGTTGTTAATTCTCCTTTTTGCATTAGGGGCTATGAATATTAAGTTGTAATAGAAATGTAGGTAATGTTAAGTATTGAAACATGGTGCATCTTTCTATTGCTAATTTCTTATGGCCATTTCTCTTTCTTTTAAATTCAACATTAAGATTTGCAGTTGACAGAAGAATTGATGTTGCTTTTATACTTTTTATTTCCAGAAAAAAACAGACGTGGTGTCACTGTACTAGAAGAACAAAAGCAGAACTAGCCCGTATTTTGATGAGTTTAAACTTTCTCAGGTTAACCATGGAGTACATTAGAAATAGCAGGTTTTGTATTTAGTTACCTGTTGTATCTTTGGTGTGGTCTGTTAATTCAATAAGAGATGTTTCTGTTTGTAAGTGAGCAATATTTACACTTGAAGCTAAGGGTTTTAATTTAAGTGGTGTTTCATAATGACATAACCATGCAGAACATGTGCCTAGAGGCATCAAAACTGTTGAGATGCAAATCAAGCAGGTTTTTGCCAAGTGGCTCTGAACCTGTCTTCACCTTCCCAGTTTGTTTGCAGCATGTGTATCCTGTATTTTGATTATAAGTTAAAGAAGAACCTTGCTTGTAATAGAAATATGTACACATGCAAACAGTATTGAGAAGTTTGTATAACATGAAGGGGAAAAGAAATGCAAACCAGTTTGTGTTTTAGTATCTTCTTATTCTGCCTCACTGAAGGAATTCCTGTCTCAGGACATTAAGGAGAAAAGGCTATAGCTAACATATGTCCCAGAGTACCAGTTCCTACAAAATTGTTATGAATTGTAATAAAGCATCTAGAGTACCTTTTCCCCATCTATTAGTGTCTTGCAAAGACTAAAAACTATTGAGGTAACTGTTACATTCATTTCACTGATTGGGAAAAGGAGGGACAGGATTTCCCAAACCTATTATAAAGAACCCCAGTAAGCAACTAAGCACCACACAGCCGCTCGCTCACCCTCCCTCCCACCCCCCAGGTGGGATGGGGGAGAGAATTGGGGAAAAAAAGTAAAACCTGTGGGTTGAGATAAAGATAGTTTAATAGGACAGCAAAGGGAGAGAAAATAATAATAATAAAAGAATATACAAAATCAGTGATGCACGATGCAATTGCTCACCACCCACTGACCGATGCCCAGCCCATCCCCAAGCAGTGATCGCTGCCCCTCAGCCAACTTCCCCCAGTTTATATACTGAGCATGACATCACATGGTATGGAATATCCCTCTGGCCAGTTTGGGTCAGCTGTCCTGGCTGTGCCCCCTCCCAGCTTCTCGCTGGCAGGGCATGGGAAGCCAAAAAGTCCTTGACTAGTGTAAGCACTACTTAGCAACAACTGAAACATCGGTGTGTTATCAACATTATTCTCATCCTAAATCCAAAACACAGCACTATGCCAGCTACTAGGAAGAAAATAAACTCTATCCCAGCTGAAACCAGGACAGTATCCACCCCTTATTCTATACCATCTACGTCATGCCCAGGTCTTACCCTTTGTAATACATCCCAATTAATCACCAGCACCTTTCCTGTATTTTGATATATACACACAGATATCATTCCCTTAGTCTATGGGCCGTCCCTCTAAAATATCTGTTGAGTTCATTTAGTCCGTGACTTTGGGCTCCATCTGTCATAACAGTCCTTCAGGGCAGGAGAGATGGTGTGTGGTGTTGGACTGTT